GGAATTCTAATATTTACGACAAAGGCCTAAAAAGAAATGGCAAACCTGTGCGAAGAAAGCCCAGAGTGCACTGTCGCAGAAGCCAAGAGAAGGTGGGGGGCAAAGCCACCTACCTCAGCTCTGAGGCCCAGCAAAGATAGTGGCCAGTTTGCCAAGCTCTGCCCTCCTCTCCTGTCCTGTCCAGAATGCTCAGCCATGATTCATTCTTATAATTCTTAAGAGAAAATCCCAAGTCCCCAAACCAGAAAACATACAGTAAAAGAGTGACTCCAAAAAAATTTAACTACGTATTGTTTATTCTTCCCAACTTTTCTGATCTGAATTTACCTGTTCTGTTTTGCCTTACGTGGCACTGAGTACTAACGGAGTATGTCTGAAGATCTAACACCACATAACAGAAAACAGAATAAGCTTGATGACAGGATCAAGGAGTGAATATGTAATTCAAACAGAAACCATAATGGCTTAAGTGGAATAATGCATTTCATTTCATGTCACAGAAGTGGTACAGAAATCAATAAAGCACACAGCCACAACAGAATTATTAAGACAGTATCATATGCATGAAAAATTATGACTATGGCTTCAAATATTTATTCATGACAGATTTAGTGAGTGGTATATACTATGACAAGGCTGTTCTAGTAATTAAAAAAAAAAAACTCTTTTGAGGAAACTCATTAGAACATTGTCCTAGATTTACACTTAAGATGTAATCCTTTTTCAAAGCAATCAAATGGCACCAGATGTCATTTTCTTAACCACAGTATAAAAGACATTCCACATGGGTGAAAACACTCCTAAATTTGAAAGTTGCTACAGTTTAGGCATGATTTAATGTTGTGCTTACTTAGAATAATAAACCAATTCAGTTAAGAAAAGCATGCCCCCCCCCAAAAAAAAACCTATAAAAATTCTAAAATATGCTATGGGAGAAATTTTCTGTGATCACAGATCAAGGAACTATATCTATTTTCATAAACCACTATAAGTCTTTGCCAACTAATAAAATGATACTACATTATATTGGTGAGGAAAAAAAAAAAAAAGAAAAGCCAGAGATATACACTTAAATTGGGGCAGTGGAGGGAGGTCAGAGAAAAAACAGAGGAGAAACTTATAATTTCAATTTGCGTAATTTTTAAATGCTTAAAAAATAAATTTTAAAAATGTATATTTCACTAATGCTCCACAACTATTTGTATGTATCATCTAGTTTTCGTCCAGATGCATATAATATACAGTTGTTTATAGCAGTATATAATTTTATATTCTTTTCTCAAAATTATATCAAATGTTTTCCATATTTCTCTTTATTTTTCTTTATAATATTTTTCATGGCTACATCATATTCTCTTGAGTTGATAGAATATAGTTTACTTGACCAATCCCTTATTTTGTTCCTAAATATAATTCTTTCCTTGGGTTTTTTCCCTAGGATAAATTCCAAGATATTAGCATTTTATTTTTTATTTACTTATTTTTTATATTTTATTTATTTATTTGACAGAGAGAGACATAGTGAGAGAGGGAACACAAGCAGGGAGAGTGGGAGAGGGAGAAGCAGGCTTCCCGCGGAGCAGGGAGCCTGATGCGGGGCTCGATCCCAGGACCCTGAGATCATGACCTGAGCCGAAGGCAGACGCTTAACGACTGAGCCACCCAGGCGCCCCCAAGATACTAGCATTTTAATAACTTTTGGTAGGTATTTCTTTATAGAAATCCACTATTTTCTACCATTTTTTCTCTTACATATGCAACTTACACAACTGCAAAATAATCCAGGATTACACCGTATCTTTAGTATACTAAAACAAATTTTAAAATGGTTGCAAGTTATTGGCAGGTGGACTTAAAACAGGACAGTCTAAGAACTCTACTGCCTCTTGAGATGGGAAGTACCCAGAAGCACTCTCTCAGAGATGCTTTAAAAACAATTTTTATATTGGGAAGAAGTCTGTAGTACAATGACTAAGATTTCTGTCTACAGCAGTAATTCATGTTAGACTAAGGCAAAGTTCTTTAGGGATAAGCTGATACTTCTCTCCAGAGACTCAGTTACATTCTAAACGCTCTGCATAACCAAAACCTATTTGGGATTGTGAAGTGAGTCTGAGATTGCTCCATTCAGGCCTTTGGCTTGCTTTGTTCTTCTGTGTAACAGTTCTATTGAAAGAAAAATCTGTCAACTGCAGAGACTAGATTACACTTGACCCCGTGTCAGTGTGGATGCAGAATGTTAGTCACCAACACACGAACATGGCCCAAAGGCGACCAGATACCGCCTTCTGCGGAAATCCCGCTCATTCTGAGGTCCTGAACGGTGGAGGTTCCCCGCACCCTGTCCCAGACTGCAAGTGGTGGAGCGGGAAAGCCAGGGAGGCAGGGGTCATGGCCTTAACTCCAGAGCCTGTGTGGCTAACCACTGTATTTCCTCTGCCATTCAGAAAAGCTGGTCCAGTCCTGGCAGAATCTGGGGGCCGAGACACAGCACATCTGGCAGAACAGCCCTGGAATGAGGTGAGAGAAGACGGCTGACTGCCAGAGCGGGGGCAGGCTTGCAAAATTTTGAAAATGCCATAAAGTTCTCCGGGCCTCAGAGTATTTCCTCAATGCATCTACCTGGGTCTACCACAGCCTGGGATTTCCTTCTAGATGCATCCTAAGGGCTTTTCAGTCCTGAGGAGGGCTCTGCACTGAAAACATACCCTTCGGAGGTACGTACTCCCACGTTAGCTGGGAGTACTGAACACCCTCCTGAGGATGAGAAAGGGACCAGAGTGGGCAGGGGCCGAGGCGCCACAGGAAAGGTGCTAAAAGAGGAAACAGAAAACTGAAAGAAATGCTGTTCTACCTTGGAAACAAAGTGCACTTCAGCTCTGCCAGGAATTGGGTGAAGGGGGCTCAGAAATCACAGGCTGCTTGGGCCACGTGGTGCCTTTACCTTTACTCTCTACTTTCTTCGTGCCTCCTGACTTTGACTTCCTGGTCCCTTTCCCTCCATTGCCTTGTAGCTTCCCAGGTGTCCCTGTATTCCTCCCTCTCCTGTCTGTTCCTGTGAAGGGAGCGCTGTGACTCCAGAGACAAGTGGATCTAACATTTAAGACTGCAACATTAATGCTTACCTAAATTTCCCGCCTACCCAAACAGATTTCAGACTTCCCAGCCACTACGATCACGAAAGCCAGTTCCCTAAAACAATTCTCAATCTCTTATTCTCTCTGTACACACGTGTGTACATCCTACTGGTTCTCTTTTTCTGGAGAAACCTTAGTCAGGCATAGGTACATAAGTAAATAAGGGCAAGAATAATTAATGCTGCCTGTTCAAGAGGCTCAACGATTAGGGGCAGCTCTCTCTGTTCCTTGTAACCAGACAAGTTCTGGTCCCAATTCCTAAGACTACCACTTACCTCATACTACCTCACTTTACCTAAGTCAGCTGAAAGTAAATGGCTTTACTTTGGTAAATTCTTCCACATTATACGCATAAGAGTTTATTATTTTCACTTACTTTTCTATCTCTGATTTTCTATTTCTTTTTTTTTCTTCTTAAAGATCTTATTTATTTATTTGACAAAGAGAGAAAGAGAGAGCACAAGCAGTGGGAGTGGCAGGCAGAGGGAGAAGCAGGGAGCCCGATGCAGGGCTCAATCCCAGGACCCTGGGATCATGACCTGAGTCGAAGGCAGCCGCTTAACCGACTGAGCCACCCAGGCGCCCCTGACTTTTGATTAAAAATGTCTCTACTGACTCAACAGGAGTCTGACCAACATCATTATGAGTCTGTAAATGTTTCTGCCACCAAGAAAATGCTGTCAACTTAGATGTCACAACTATCTTCTACTTTTTTTTTTTTAAAGATTTTATTTATTTGAGAGTGAGAGAGAGAAGAGAGCACGAGTGCACAAGCAGGGGGGAGGGGTGAAGGAGGAGGGAGAAGCAGACTCCCCGCTGAGCAGAGAGCCTGCCATGGGGCTCAATCCCAGAACCCTGGGATTATGACCTGAGCCAAAGTCAGACTCTTAACTGACTGAGCCACCCAGGCACCCTATCTTCTATTCTTAATAATCAAAGTGTTTTCACTTAGATATACTGTGTAGAGCAAAGCTTTTCTATGTTTCTTCACCTGAAAAGATCTATTTTAATTCAAAATGTTTGCTATTTTCTAGAAGGTGGTCGTGGGGCTTTTTCGTTCTTCCCCTAAAGTCATTCCGCAGAGAAGACACTGCTGCAAACACCCTACCTAGCTAACAATATAGTGCTGGCATAGAAGTCATCTCTGACTTACAGAAAATGTGTTTAAAATGCCAACTGCAAGTAAGTACAAAGCACTAATGTCAAACTATCCCTCTATTTTGGTGCATGACAGACACTAAACAGCAGGTGCTGATTTCCTCTGATACCTAACATCAGTGCCTTGTTTCTTTCTTACTACTCCCACCGTTGTTCTGTTTGATCTATACTCATCCATGACACATTGCAACTTGCTGATTTTATAACTACTCTGTATGTAAATAAAGTGAGTAAGAAATACAAAACCCCAATGGATAATTTCTACCTTCTTATAAAGTCAAACCTGCTCAGCTGAACGTGCTTCTATCAAAACATGGATGAAGTGCCATAGCCAGCTCTCAGTGTGCTTGCAGAGCAAGAAAGAGAACTCAAAATTCACATGTAATTAATGGCAACTGTAGAGTCTATTCATACACAAATCAGAGCACTCCCGATTACTATATATTAAATCAAAAGATCTCCAAATGGAGCAAAGTCTAGAAAAGTTCTGTCAAGTTTACATGTCAACTATGAGACATAAAGTACTTAGGAAGATATTTGTAAGGAAACAAATCCCAGCCATTATTTTAAAGAATTATTTAGCATCGTTTCAAATACAAATTATCCTCTGTCATCATTTCATCGACATGTGTCCCATTCAAACATGCAATTATCAGTCACATACAGCATGCAGCATGCAGTAAATGGACAGCAGAGGTTAATAACCTGGAAGCATAGGATCTGAGAATGTGAGAGCAAGTTAAAGACAAGAGTTCCTCTCCATTGTCACTGAGGGTCGAGAAGCAATGCTGAAGCGTAGAACAGTGAGAGTGGGGGAAATACAGTTTGTCCAACACATAAACATATCTCCGCAAGTGGCGGCAGGTATAACTGAAAGACAAAGGTAAAAGGAGAAAAACAGAGAGGAGTTTTCCTTTGAAAAAATAAACCATTCTCAATGTCCTCAAAGCGCTCTGTGTATTTTCACTAGATGGTACCCAAGAAAAAACAACTGTTAAAAGAGAATATTAAAAAGATAAAAAAGAAAACAAGCAACCTGTTTTAAAAATGGGCGAAAGATCTAAACAGACACCTCACCAAAGAAGATATACCAATGGCAAATAAGCATATGAAAAGATGTTCCACATCATATATCATTAAGGAAATGCAAACTAAAACAATGAGATACTGCTGCAAACCCATCCGAATGGCCAAAATCCAGAACACTGACAATACCAAATGCAGGGAAGGATGTGGAGCAGCAGGAGCTCTCAGTTACCGCTGGTGGGAATGCAAAAATCATACAGCCATTTTGGAAGACAGTTTCAGTTTTCTTACAAAACTAAACATACTCTTACCATACAATCCAGCAGTCATGCTCCTTGGTATTTACCCAAATGAGTTGGAAATTTCTGTCCACATAAATACCTGCACATGGATGTTTCTATCAGTTTTCGTAATTGCCAAAACTTGGAAGCAATCAAGAGGCCATTTAGTAGGTAAACGGATCAACTGTGGTACATCCAGAAAATCAAATATATTCAGCGCTAAAAAGAAATGAGCTATCAAACCATGAAAAGAGAGGGTGGAATCTTAAATGTGTATTACTTAGGAAAGAAGACAATCTAAAAAGGCTACATACTGTATGATTCCAACTCTATGACATTCTAGAAAAGGCAAAACCCCACAGAAGGTAAAAAGATCAGTGGCTGCCAGAGGTTAGTGGGGAGAGAGGGATGAATAGGCAGAGCACAGAAGATTTTTAGGGCAATGCAATATTCTTTATGATACCATAACAGTAGATACATGTCACTATACATCTGTCAAACCCATAGAATGCATATCACCAAGAATGAACCCTAATATAAACTATAGTCTCTGAGTGGTAGTGATTATGTCAAGGTGGGTTCATCAACTGTGTAACAAATGTTATCACTTCTGGTGTAGAATAATGATAGCAGGGGAGGCTGTGTGTGTAGGGAGATGGGGTACATACGGCAATTCTCTGTACTTTTGCTCCATTTTGCTATAAATGTAGAACTGCTCTTAAAAAGGGTATTTAAAAGTGAGGGATGACGGGCGCCTGGGTGGCTCAGTTGGTTAAGCGACTGCCTTCGGCTCAGGTCATGATCCTGGAGTCCCGGGATCGAGTCCCGCATCGGGCTCCCTGCTCGGTGGGGAGTCTGCTTCTCCCTCTCCCGCTCCCCCCTCTTGTGCTCTTTCTCTCTCTCACTCTCTCTCTCAAATAAATAAATAAAATCTTTAAAAAAAAAAAAAAGTGGGGGATGAAATCTGCCTTGCTAGAGCAGAGTGGTATGAGAGATTTTTCTCTCTACAATACTACAAATATGTTCCTGGAAGACAGGCAATAATAGTACTGCAATATGGAAGATATCGTGGTAGAGGAACATGGAATTAGGAGTAAGAAAACTTCGAAATCTGGATCCAGCCCAGCCACTGGAAGTTTTGACAGTGGGGATTTGATCTCTCCAAGCCTCAATCCCACAAATTGTAACACAGAAGTAAAAACATTAAATTATTCCAAAATTTTGAAGTGATATTTAAAAATAAAAATATAAAAGAATTATTATCGTCAGAGCAATTTCATTCGTGCCACATTTCAGACCACTTGAAAATAACAAGTTTGAAAGAGGAAAATGCCAAATCAATGTGACAAGGTGAATCAACAAAACCGTGAACACATCAACATCAATGGATATGCTTAAACTACTAGTCTTTGAGAACCTTGTCTAAAAATCCACGCCAAAAATACAACAAGTTCCCAAATTTTATTTTGGGAATAAATTAATGAAACTAATAGATTAAAAGATTAGAAATAGGCAAATTTCCAAAACTGGGACAATTCAATCACCCATTCAACCTATTAATCAGCCCATCTACTTATCTCCAAGCAGTATCTATTATATGTGGCACATAGGAACTATGCATGACCCTGAAGACAGCGTGAGGACGAAATTACACATAACCCTTTCCCGAGATTACAAGATAGAAGACACATATTAGACAATAACAAAATCCCACTGAAACTGTATAATTTCTAACTGTAATAAGCACTATGAAGGAAAAGTAAGAGGAGTAAAATGGAGATCTCACCCTGAGATTTGGAAGCTGAGAAAGGGCTGCTGCAAAGTGAATTTTAAGCTGACATCTTAAGGAAGAATGGAAGTTAGCTACATAGAGTATAGACTGGGGGAGAGGAACCATGAATAAGCTAAAAATATCTTATAAACAATACATGAGGGGCACCGGGGTGGCTCAGTCATTAAGCATCTGCCTTTGGCTCAGGTCATGATCCCAGGGTCCTGGGATCGAGCCCCACATTGGGCTCAGTTGGGAGTCTGCTTCTCCCTCTCCCACTCCCCCTGCTTGTGTTCCCTCTCTCACTGTGTCTCTCTCTGTCAAATAAATAAATCAAATCTTTAAAAAAATAAATAAAAAATAAATACATGAATATTGTAAGGAGAGTGGGTTCAAAATTAACAGCCTTTCTCAGGTCAAAAAACAAAAAACATTGTTATAATTGAAGTATAGCTGATACACAATGTTACACTAGTTTCAGGTGTACGACATAGCAATTCAACAAGTCTATACCTTATACTATGCTCACAAGTGTAGCTAGCATCTGTCACCATCCAACACTATTACAATACCACTGACTATATTCCCTTTGCTGTACCTTTCAACCCCGCGACTTATTCATTCTATAACTGGAAGCCTGTATTTCCACTCCCTTCACCCATTGTGCCCATCCCCTCACTTCCCTCCCCTCTGGCAACCATCAGTTTGTTCTCTTTTGGTCTCTGTCTGCTGTTTGTTTGAAAAAAACAATCAGTTTTTTTGTTTCAGAGAGAGAGTGAAGTGCGAGGCAGAGAGATAATCCTAAGCAGGTTCCACATCCAGTGTGGAGCCTGACATGGGGCTTGATCCCATGACCCTGAGATCATGACCTGAGCTGAAATCAAGAGTTGGACACTTAACCGACTGAGTCACCGAGGCACCCCGAAAAAACAATGTTTTTTAAAATATAGTGATTCTAGGGGCACCTGGGTGGCTCAGTCGTTGAGCGTCTGCCTTCGGCTTGGGTCGTTATTCCGGGGTCCTGGGATTGAGCCCCACATCGGGCTCCCTGCTCGGCGGGAAGCCTGCTTCTCCCTCCCCCACTCCCCCTGCTTGTGCTCCTGCTCTTGCTATTTCTCTCTGTGTCAAATAAATAAATAAAAATAAGATAAAAAAAATAAATTAAAAAAATAAAAATATAGTGATTCTAGTCCAATGACAACAAAATAAGATGAAATATACAAGAATAATGTACAACAAATATCTATGAAGAAATCTTTAAAATGGTAATAACAAAAAATTTAAAAGAATTGATAAAATGGAAGAAAAAATTTTTAGATAGGAAACTCTAGGATTATAAAGTCACCAAATGTTCTGGTGTTAGTCTAAAAATTCATGTTCTCAAAAATATCAAGAGTTTTAAAAATGAAACTAGACATGTTAATTCTGAAGTCATATAGAAAATTAAACATTTAAGAAAAGCCATAAAATTCTGAAAAACTATAGAGTTCTAGGATGGGACTAGCTCTACCACCTATTAAAAAAATACTGTAAAGTGACATTACCAGAAACAGTTTGGTATGGTGCATGAGTACAAGAACACTAGAAGAGACTGAAATAAGATGAGAACAGAGTATAAGATAAAGGTGGCACTTTATTTTTTTTTTTTAAGATTTTATTTATTTATTTGAGAGAGCGAGAGTGAGAGATTGAGCAAGGAGAGCAGCAGAGGAAGAGAAAAAAGCAGACTCCCCCACTGAGCAAGGAGCCCAACCTGGAGCTTAATCCCAGGATGCTGGGATCATGACCTGAACCGAAGGCAGATGCTTAATCAACTGAGCCACCTAGGTGCCCCAAGGTGGCACTTTAAAACAGAAGATCTGATGCATTATTCGATAAATGGTATTAGGATAACTAAGTAGATAATTAGGAAAAAACAGAGATGACTCTTAACCTCACCTCCTAAATCAAAAGAAATTCCAGGTTGATCAAAGATTGTAAGGAAAAAATAAAACGACAAAAGTTCAAAAATAAACCATATACATGAGCGCCATTAAAAAATAAGTCTTAAAGTTGACCACATAAAAATGAAAAATATAAATAAAAGAGACAATCACTTTTTCACTGTGCATCTTTTGTACAGTATGAACTTTCTGCCACTTTCATGTATCATAGACATAAATTAATGACTGAATAATTTTTAAAAATTGAAAGGGGCACAGGAGCAATTATTTCAGAGGGACTATGCTAAACGCAGGGAGATTTAAACAAGTTCAAGAATCTGAAAGAAGTTCAGTATGGCTGGTGTATGTTGGAAAAATGGTAAAAGGTAAGGTGGGCTCATGCAGCGCCTTGTGAGTTGTAAGATTCATCACATCATGAAAAACTAATGAAGGGTCTGAGCGGGGAGCAACTAGATATGGTTTACTTTTTCTAAGATGCATTTCTGCAATACAAAGATAAAATTGGAGGGGGGCAAAAGTTGAAAGATACAACCAGAAGCACGAAGAGTGGAAAAGCAAAGACCAGTAAGCAGCCACTGCAATTGTTTATGCAAGAACTGCTGACGATGGCTTCAGAGCAGGAGAGCAGATTCAAGACCTTTGGAAGTAAAACCAATGGGACTTGCTAACTGATTGGAATGGGAGATGGTGTCAGTGGAGGAAGATACCAAGAATAATTCCCTGATTTCTGGTATTAGGAACTGAATGAAAGTACATTTTCTGAGCTAAGAGAAACTAGAGGAGGGACAGGTTTGTTTTTGTTTTTAAAGATTTTATTTATTTATTTGAGAGAGAGAGAGAATGAGAGAC